ACTAGACAGGAGCTGGAGGGGGCAATGGGGGCACAGGGGAGGGTGGGAGCTCATTGCGGGGCTCGGCGGCCACCCCATGCCCTGCGGAACCACTGGCTGGCTCTCCAGGCCCAACCCACCCAGTGGGGACCTGGCCCACTTACCTGCCAGGGCATAGCCCCCAGGCATGATGGGGTTGGTGACCCCTCCGGCCACGATGCCCTCAGGGAAGGCCAAAGAGAGGGCCTCCCCGATGAGACGCCCCACAGCAGCTCCTAGCCACAGACTCGGGGTGAGCCCGGCTGACCCGACCCCACAGCCCTCCCTCAGCACCATCCTGGGGAGGGAGGGGACAGACCAGGTGCCCTGGCCCTGCCCCAATCACCCCGAACCTCTAAGACTCACCGAAGATAAATATGGGCATAAAGTAGCCAGCGGGCATGGGGATCGTGGTGGCCAGGATCAGCATCCAGAACTGCGGGGGGTGAGCCCAGAGGGGCAGAGGCTGGAGGCAACTNGATCAGCATCCAGAACTGCGGGGGGTGAGCCCAGAGGGGCAGAGGCTGGAGGAAACTGGGCAAGAGAGGGCAAGGGAAGGACAGCACAGGGGAAGGGGACGGGGCATGTCCCAGGGAGAAAGGATGCCCAGGGGCATGCGCATCGCCAGGGTCTGGTGACAGAGAAGGAACCTCACCCTGACCAAGTGCCTCCTGTGTGCCCGGGGCTCTCCTTCCTTCCCTCTCAACCTCATCTTGAGGTAGCTCAGTAACTAGCTATCCCATTTTAAAGATAAGAAAACTGAGGCTCAGAGTGCTGGAGCGACTAGGCGGGGACCCCACAGGGGGCGGGGGCAGGCCAGGGAGTCTGGGTGGGAGGCCCAGCGCCATGCTACAGGCCGTGGGGGGCACCCCCACCCCACCCCTGACTGGGCTCGGCTCTAGGCACACCCCCGGGGGGCCCCGGGCGCCCACCTTCATAACCAGGAAGAAGGCAAGGGTCCCAAAGATGGTGAACCGCGGGTGGTACCACTCGAACCACAGGTTCTGGGGGTCGGGCTCGGCGGGCCAGGGTGGGGACGCGTTCCGGGTCATCAGCGCCCACGAGTTGTTGTCAAACAGTGTGTCCAGGTGCTGCCTCATGGACAGCTGGCGCGGGGCAGGCCGGAGTC